TGACGGATTTCTTCAGAACATCCAGATGACGGATTTCTTTAATCAACTCCTCTTCTTTTACATCCTTTACTTAGAGATTTGATTTTCATTTTTCTTGCTGATTAAGTTTTTATTCATCACTAGAAAGAGATGGAGAACACCATATACATTCTGTATCTTATCTGCTGGAGTAGCGTGTCAAGAGCAAAATTAAATACGTTCACCTCAAAACCCTTTGATTTGTCTTCGTAGAAGTGGGCTGTGTTCATAAATTTGCCGCAAAGTGTTTTCCTTTTCCTTGTCCTCTTCTTAACAAAATAATTTTGAAATCCGAACAAGATGCAACCAGTTATGCTTTTTGGAGGGTTTGGGGTCAAAAGGAACGTAGTTGGTCAAAATCATTGGTTAGAGTCTTTAAAGAAATTGTCTCGTCATCCTAAGAAATGTTTTCTGATTGAAGAAGGAGGCAGACATCGTTGACACAATCATTGAACCAAGTAGAAGTCAAGATAATGAATTTGAATGATTGAATCCACTTATTGAGTACCTTAACTAAAGTCAGTTGATGATCTTCTAAATCAAGTTCTTCTGGAAGCTTCGACAATAGCCGACTGCCTATATGCACGCATTTCGGACGTTTGGTGGAGAGACTGCCCAGTTGTCTCAATCAATATTTTCAAATTTTTTTTCCTGAAGGAAATATATTTGTTTCAATAAAGTAGAAATAAAAAAAAAAAAAAAAACATTTAAATTAATATCCTATACCTTTGTTTTTCTTCTCTCGCAAAACCACTTTTATTTGAAATGAGTATTTTTAACATATACCAACTAAATGTTTTTAACGTTCTTTGCTTTATATTTAAATGTAAGATTAATATAACTTAAATACTACATCTTTTCAAAATTTATATACAATAAAGCTCAAAATCAAATATGATCTAAGAAATGACAGTTTTGTTTATTAACATTATTCGCATACAAATTTTGGAAGGTCTCTTATATATTATCGTGGAGCTTTTTTGTGGAACCAAATAGTTGGAATTTTTTTACTTTCAAAAACAAACTGAAAAAAGTTATTTTCTTAATAGATAATATTTTCTAGTTCTTCTGATCTCGTTTCTCTTTTATCTAAATTTAATTATCTAAATGTAATTTAAAATATTTTATTTTGTTTTATATTGTTTTGTTAAACGGTGTTTTATTAATGTTTGTTAAACGGTGTTTTATGAATGCTTGTTAAACGGTATTTTATTTATGTTTGTTAAACGGTGTTTTATTAATGTTTGTAAAACGGTGTTTTATGAATGTTTGTTAAACGGTATTTTATTAATGTTTTTAACGGTGTTTTATTAATGTTTGAAGGAGCTCCAATTCCATTTACATCCAGAAGCAGTACAAGTAAAGCTCAAGATTCTAATGGCAAATTTTGATCGTTCAGGCGTTTGATCTCCAAAAGCTCTCCACCAATCCTCTAAAAATAGTAACAATACTTTATTAAATTAATAGAAAAAAAAAATGGTTGAGATGTGATCCCATATGGGTCAATACTCTGGGTTATCAAAAAATAAAATAAAAGATATTAATACTAACATACTAAAAGTAGTGTAAATACACACCTAGACTTCTCTTCTTCCTCGTAAATTTTCCCATCCAAATAAATCTTATGCATTTCGAAAAGAATCGATCTGCAAATCTACTTTCTTCCTTTTTTCTGAAACAGCAATCAATTGCTCCATGCAAGAATAAAGTCCCAATTTAATCTCACGATGAGTAAAAAATGAAGGTTCATATTGTAAATGAGGATTTCGATAATATGCAGCAGCATGCGTATGAAGTTAACAATCCTATCGACTATCCACAATATCCCAAAAAATATGATACTTTGCAATATCATTATTTAGTTTTCGAGCATTTATTTCTTTTGCCTTGTCCATAGCTTCGTAAATAAATCATTTTGGGGGATACTTCTTAGAAGCTACCATTCAAATAACTTTAATTAAGGACTTTGTTTTGTTGAGCAAATAAGCAACACCAGGCCAAAACAACTTGCTTTTTAGAATTAAGTTGTGTACATTTTTCCCCAATGATTGAGATGCATAAGCACTGGTTTCCCACTTTTTTGAAGTAAAAAAGTATTCAAGTCCATCCCTTGCTCCAAACAAGCTTTGCAAAGTATGAAATGAAGTGGCAAATTGAGCATTGTCTGTTATCTCTTGGATAACATTCTTTTTCCCAACTTCCTCAACAACTTCATTAGGCAATCTAAAAAGCAACTTTGCATTTTTTACTTTATCTAATGCATCAATGGACTTTAAAAAGAAAATTTCTATAAAGAAATCGATGGGTCAATGAACTTGTTTATTTTACTTGACTGCACTTGAGCATATTTTTGGTTTTTGTAATGGTGGATCGCCTTTAGTAGCAAATGGTCCTTGCATTTCTACTCAATAAACCTCCTCCATTTCTTCGAATCTTCTTCTTTTACCCTCGGTCTTTTTCAACATAAACGACTTCATTTCTTCTTGAACCTCAATGGAAACTGTAACCTTAATGGGAATGGGAACAATATTAAAATAAAACTTTTTTTTCAGAAAAGTAAATAAAATTGCATAGTGTGGCTAAGTGGTTAGAGTTTCGGCTCAGGACCAAAAAATCCGGGGTACGAAGCCGGCTCTAACTCAATAAGCGACATTAATAAGGAAGAAGGCGTGGACTTCGTATCTATATTCTTTATACTATCAAAAATATTAAACAAATGATGAGATTTTTATTCTTTTTTTAATAATGCAGTGACTCGTTGAAGACCACTGGTCTTGTCATCAAAAACAGTTAGAACTTTAAATAAAAAATATAAAAAGGCTTGATAAAAAATAAATAACAAACAGTGGTCAAATATAAAATATTAAAATAAAACTTTTTTTTTAAATAAAATGTTGAAAATAAATATTTTGAAAATATGAAAGCAAAAATTTTAAGAGGCAATCAAAAGCAAAAACTTAAAAATCAATCGTAAAAATGATTTCTTTTAGTTCCTTCTTAAAGAAAAAATACCTCCCATTCACGAGTAAAATCAATATTTTTCAAAATTATTTTATTCTATAAAAGTTCTTCTCGAAAAGCAAGATTTTTTTATACTTGGTTTAAATTTTGGTTGTCGTATGAAATTATTATTTAGACGTGCTACATAAATCTGCTGACAAAGTAGAGGCTTTAACTTACCATAATGGGAACGCCCCCAGGTAGCATTACCATAACTAATATGACAGTGAATTAAAAAGTAATATAGTTGAATATATAAAAGCATACAGTGAAGCAAAAATCTAGAGTTGATTGATATCTAATTCGATATTTCAAGGACAGTTTAAAAATTTTTGAGCAGGATAGATTTTTTTTTTGAAAACAAAATTTATTTTACTGTTTTTATTTGACAGTTTATTGGGACCTTGAGACACTTTTGATTTTACGTTTTATTTTATATATATATATATATATATATATATATATATATATATATATATATATATATATATTTATATATATATATATATATATACATATATATATATATATATATATATATATATATATATATATATATATATATATATATATATATATATATATATATATATATATATATATATATATATATAATTTTTTTTTGCTGTATAAATTTATTTAAAACAGAAAGCATAATGTAAATAAAAATCGCAGGGAAAAGAAGAGAATATTATTTGTCTTATTGTCAATCCTCTAAACTAAGGATAAACGATAAGACAAATTACGTCTTCTTCTTTTTTCCCCTGCTATTTGTGTTTACATACAGTCGGTGAAAAATCATTACCATTGTTTTATTGCATGACACAAAACTCAAAAATCAATAGATGGATGTCAAGACATCTTGTTTTAATGTTTAGTTAAATTTAGTTTGATTAAATACTTACATTTAGATTAAAGAAAAGTGAATATAGTAATGCCAAGTTGAAATGAACTTGCCTCTCTTAAAAACCTTAATTTTTTGAGATAAGTGGTAATGACTTAACTGTATAAAATATTTTGTAAAGATTTTATGAACAAGACTTTGGTCCTAATGTACCATTTAGATCCCAGTGTAACTTAATGACGTTTCTATTATTTTTGCGGTTTTTGTTTAACAATTTACTTGGATACACGGATACTTAAAAAATGAAAATAATTATTTTAATAAAATAATTTAAAAAAATATTTCTAATTAATGAATAGAATAAAATAGAATAAATAGAATATAAAACATTGTATTATTTATTTGTTTGTCTCTATAAAGATTGTGGTCTCTTTTGTAAAAAGTACTAAAAAGATTGTGGTAACTTTTGTATATGGGGCCTACCTATTTTTATAAATCTCTTTTTTATCTAAATGTTTCTTTGCAATATTTGTTATTTGGATTAACTATTATGCGTAAATTTTCTTGTCTAAAAAATTTTAGAAAACGTTTTATTTTAAACGTGTTTTATATTTTAATAAAAAACACTTTATATAAAAAACAATAAAAGACTATGACGAGGTTGTTTTAAATTTACAAAACTGTTTGTATAAGATATAAAAATGTATCTGATTTTGAAACTTGTTTAAAATCAAATAAACATGAACTATGTTTATGTTTATATGAACTAATTTACAAAATGTTATATTTTATAAAATCATGTTTTTGATCATGAACAATGTTTATTTTATAACTTATTTTATCTATATATTTTATTTTAAAATAATATTCTCCTCTCCTTCATCCCCATTGACTTTAACCTTAAAATCGCATATAAAAATATTGAATTCTAGAACTGATGTATATAAGAAGAAATTTTCCATAAATGATTTTACAACATGTAGTAAATAAGAAAGAACTGTTATTAAGATAACTTTACAGTTTGTAATTTAATATTGTAAATTTGACATTTTTTGTATTAAAGTCTTGTATTAGTAAATTTACAGAATATTTTATGATATTTCTAAACTATTTTAGTCAACACTTTTACTGTTTTTAGCGCGATTTTTGAAAACTTCAAAACATGTCAACGATAACAACGTACAAAAACTTACTTATAATCAGCCTGGGTTTTTTCCTAATACATGCTGCATTTTTCCCAATTCAAAACATTCAAGCAAGTCTTCATAAAGATCCTGCACTGGGTTTTGGATCACTTACTGCTCTTTATGCAAGTGCAATCATATCTAGCTGCTTTTTACCAAACCTTTTAATGGCGAAGTTTAAACCTAAAATTTTAATGATCATTTCCATGAGTACTTTTTCTCTGTATGTTTTTGCTAACTTTATGCCAGTAATGGGAACAATTATGCCAGCAGCAATTCTATTTGGTGAGTAAAATGAATTTTATTTATTATTGTTAAATATATTTGATACAAATAAAAAAAAAAAAAATTAATAAATACATGGGTTTACCCACAGCTACTGTGTTTTGCCCAAATAATGGGTAAGCTGGCAAAACACTTCCTCAGCTGTGCAATAAATTGTCATATTACTTTATAATTTTTAATATTCTAGAGTTTTAATATTCTGGTGGAATAGTTCGCTATTTACCATTATATATGATTTTAGCTTTTTCTTACAAATAGTTGTGTTTTTTTCATCTCGACTGATACTTGGAAAAATATTTCAAAGTCTAAAAACGATAGTGGGATACCGCCCGATCACCAAAACGATTGCTGGATTTTGTTTCTTTTAATTTCAGAGTTCTCGTTGAGAAGTGAATCAAATTACACAATGATGCTGGCGCTTCCTAGATAATAGACTTGTGCATTTTTAATAAAACCTTAAAATAAATTCTTTCTCGAATTTTAAGCCAATGCAAATTGATAAATACCTGGTCATTTATTTGATTTTCTATTCTGATTTTAAATACTAGTCTTGCTGCAAAATTTTGAACAGACTGCAGTTTTTTTAATAGTAACTTCTCAATTCCAAAGTAGAGGGAGTTGCAATAATCTAACTGTGAAAAAATTTATGAACATACTATGGTGTACAAATCTTTATGCGATAAGAATTGTTTTATTTGGGACATTTTGCTGATTATATTGTAACAACTTTTCACAATCTTATTTGTCTGTGTTTTCAAAGACAGTTCATTGTCAAGTATCACACCCAAACTTTTTGTGGAGTCAACAAATCTAATGCATTCCTTGTTAATAAAAGTACCTTAATAATAATATCTTTTTGTTTGTTAGGTGTTGCCATAATTAATATTTTTGTTTTCGATGGGTTAATGCATAAGAATGATTCGCTCATCCATTTAGATATATGTCCAAGACATTCTGGTATATTCAGAACTAATGCATTATATTACGAAAAAGGAAGGAATGCTTTGAAAGTTTGATGATCATCTGAGTATCCAAAAGTTTTTTTAATAAACCATTAGGTTTGCACTTTGTTGTTCCTAACTAAACTAAGTATAACTTTTAATGTACACGTTTATGGAACGCATGAAAAGGAAAATAACTGATAAAAGAGTTAATGTGAGGAATGGCTTTAGAAAAAAGCCTAATTGAGATTTAGAGACAAGCTTGATTGACACTAAATTTGCCATAGTTTTGACTAGCTGAAGTAGCATTTGTTGCAATGTATGTCTGCAATATTTTTCATGCTGCCATAGCTTAAAAATTCAATCAGTATATCATAAATTCAGAATTATTTGCAGCAATTGTCCATCCAAAACTAAAGACAACTTTAATCAAAGACAACAAACAAACAACAAATCAATCTGGAACTCCTTGAGAAAAAAATTGACAGCAATAACGACTAGCTAAAAACAGTGACAGTACAAATGCAAACTCAGAATATGAGTCTAAAATTGAGAAAGAATTTTTTATCTTATATTGTCACATGACAATTGTACTGCTGTTGATGTTGGATGTAAATTAAAAATGTACTTTTTAGATTTAATTTTACAGGTTTTATATTTTTTAAATGTAACAACGCCAACCCTGTTAGTAAGAAAAGAAAGAACCTAAGATATACTAACAGCACAGAAAAATGGCTAAACAAAACCTCAGTTAGAAAATATAAACGAATTTCAAAAGTACTTAGTTTAAAAAACAGCCAAAAAAGTCAAAATGTTATTTATTTAGATTTTGCAAAAGCCTTTGATGCGCGCAACACCAAAGATAACCAAATTAGCAGCTTACGGAAATAATAGGAGGTAACAGGAAAACTGTTTAAGCAGATCGAACCAGTTTTAAGAGCTTTATTATTCATTAGTTTTCAGTATTAGCATCAGTTTTAAGAGCTTAATTATTCATAATAAAGACCTACCAGGAAATATGAAAAACCTTTTTTAATAATTTTTTATTAAAAAAAGTTGAAAATAATTTTTTTTTAACTTTATGCAACTTTTTTATCAGCTTTATCAACAGGAACTTGAACCTTAAAATGTGTGCATACTTTAAAATGTGGGTAATTGAATTTATGTCTCTTGCACTTTAAAATCAATCAGATTAAATTTTATGTAAGAAATTAGTTGAGGCATAAGACAATATAAATTGAAACTGTTTGATAATATAGTTTAAAACATTAAGTCAATTCTATGTCAAGTATGCACTAACAACTAACTGTATTGTGTTTTTATTTCAAAAATTAGAACACATATTTTTACTTAAAACATGATTGACATTTAAAACGAAGAATAAAGTTAAGAATTGAGGCCGTATATGACAATGATAGATAATAAAATGACATGTTTTGATCAATAATTTATGTAAATGGACGTTAACTTAAAGAACAACAATCTATTGCTCTTCTAGTTTTTATTAAAACACTTGACCTAAATTTTGAGGTGCGTATTGAGTTTCTAAAACTTCATTATCAAAATGAAATTGCAACTAACAAACTTTAAAGAAGAAAAAGTAAGATCCAAAAGGATTTTTTGTTTAATACAGTTTTGCAGGATTGCTTTGTACAAACTAACTTCAAAATATTGTTGCTAATACGGAACTGTTAATTGCTAATGACAAAAATTTTTTAAATTGACTTTAAATTGATCTTTTAATTTGATGAATTTATCTTTTATTATTCTACATTTTTTTTGTTCACATGCTTTTTATCGTCTTTTTTTTGTTTTCTTTGTTTGTTTTTCATTAACCGTTTCTTAGACCTTTTTCCTCTTCAGTTGATCCATTTTTTTGAGTTACTCTTGTAGTTTTTTTAGAGGTGTGTTTTAAAGTTACTTGCGAATAAGGTAGCAAATCTGGGACACCTTCAACTGATAATGGAGATTCTGTAAGATCGTGGATAACTCGATACTTTTCAAGTAAAAATGTCAATCGAAAGTTTTTGTAAATTTTCTGGGGGTCTGAAGAAGACTAATGGCTATACATTTTTAATCGAGATAAAATTTCTGACTCTGCAATAGCAATAACTTTTGCTGCCTTATTTCTTCAGATTTTTGAGAAATAAAAAAGAAGACAAAAAAAAGCAGGTGAATAAAAAAATCATATAATAATAATAATCTATTAGAGAATTGAGATCTTGTACTCCGTGTTTTGTAGTTAATATAAACAAGTTTGATATTGTTTCCACGATGGATTTTAGTTCTGTTACGCTTGTTATATCTTTTCCTGATAATATTAATTTTAAAATAACAACATCTTCTGCACAAGTCGCAAATGGGTAAGTAGTAGTACAATCGCTGTTCTCGCGGATTTTTTGTTTTTGTTTATTACATTACCTTCGTTGTTTAATAATAAGTAAAAATCAAAACATATATAAAAGAAAAAAAAAATTAAATAATTTCCGAAGAACAAAGAAACAAAAATTATTGTAATCAAGTAACTTGTGATTAAGCATCTTTTTGTATATGATACAAAAACTCTTTTTTTTTTAAGTTATCTTTATTAAATATGGAATTATACTTTTGATAAATATTTTATAGCAACAGGCACCCTTTCCAGCAAACAACAATCTACTTGCATTCTTGTTAACTCAAAATTTCATAAACTTTGGTGTTTCATTTTAATTAAACATGCGTTTAATATCTTTTTTACGGGACAACACCCCCTTCTAAAGATTTTTCACTGTTCTTTATAATACCTGTAACTTAAAGTTCTTCGGCTAGTTTATTTAACTGAATTTCATCCATTATTTTAGCTATAGCAGCTTCATTTTCGTTGCAACCTAACGCAGGTGTGGTGTAGTGATAAAAGTTCTGGCTGCTTGAGGTCCTTAGTTTGAAGCCGGCTCTGTCCATATATACATCATTGGTAAAGAAGGAGACGTGAACTTTTTTGTTAAATGATTTTTTGCATTGTTAATATAATGTTAAGATAAGATCGTTAAGGCTTTCTGGAGCAACCTTCTGGAGCAACCTAAATAACTAATAAAAAAACAACAATCTGAGATAAAACTTTGGTTTTATTTTAATATACTTTAACTGAAAAAACAAGTTAAAAAACATTTTGAATAATTTAAAGGATAACATTTATAATCTTTAAAATTGTGACTTGCATTTTAAAATACAAAAAAACTTATTTCAGTACCGCTTAAGTACAACTGAAAATGTGAATGTCAATCTATTTTCAGAAATTTAACACTAAACAATTATGCAATTATTACACAAATTTTCATCAGAAAAAAAGTGTGAACTAATAATAAGATACAAATGACTCGCTTTAACAATTTAATTGAAAATTGTAAACAATTGAAATGAACAGATTTAATTGGTTTAATTAAAATTTAAGTAAATGCGTATACTTTAAAATGAAGGTAGCGTTTGAATGTAAAGATTGTCAATTTATTAGATGATTTTTACAGTACCATACCTAGAGACGTAATTCCATACTGTTCGACCGGTATGGGTCCAAAGTAATACGCCCAATTAAAACATTTTTTTACAATAACTAATTTAATGTAAATAAACGCCGTATTAGCGATATAAAAAAACAGTTAAAATATTCCAAATGGTTAAAGATTTTGTTAAACGTAAATTGCTGAACAAATAGCAACTTTGCATGTAAAGTGTGTACTTTATAACGCTTCATAACCATATATTTATAACTTCATAAATTCTTATAAGGGGAGGGGGAATTTATGACAAGAGGGCCCCTACCCTTTTTCTGAATAATGATTTTTTTTTTGGATTGGTATCATCTAAACTATTGCTGGGTAAGGCACTGCCAGTGATACCAAAATATGTTAGATCGGAATATGAAATTTAACCAGATTCAATCAAAAATACTGGAGTATGAGCAAAATGATGGGACCATCGAAAAGAAATTATGGAAAGGGAACCAATTAAATGAAAATATGATGAAACAATCTAAAGGAAAATATTATTAAACTATCCAAAGAGCGAATTATATTGATGACT